TCTGTCATCAAGATGTGAATTTGTGTACACTTTAACCAAATGTTTCACCATTGTGATGTCCATTTACATCTTTACAAGGGTAGACCAATTCCTCCATCTTCTAAAATTCTAATGCGTCCATAGGAATTTATGTGATGTAAAATTTAGTTTGGCAGCAAAGACCATTAGTTAACATCAAGTGTTTCACTTTAAAATGATACAAACAACAACTAAGAACTGATGTCACATACTGTAGGCTGACATGCACACGTTATGTGACATAATGTTTGCAGACCAAGTGCCATATTCAGAAGAAATTGGCACTTGCAATTGCAGACAAAAAGAAGGACATTTAAGGAAATGGCTATAAATTGTAAGAGCAGATAAAATGTAAACATCAGCAAATAAAAAAATATATAAACATTACACAAAGCAATCAAAGACAATAAAAACATACTGTACATGCAGTCAACCAAGTAGACCAAGAAACAGTTGGCTATTAGTCTGAATAACCAAGTTTGTCCATGAAAACTTTCATAATGCACCAGAAGGGAACTTAGGAAAGAATATAAAGTACAGTAGCAAGTTCCAAAGAGAGCTAAAAGCTAAAAGCCAAATGGCAGACTGTTCCAGGAGGTTGTGTTTTCAGAGTGTTTACATGATGCTTTGTACATGACATCATCATAATCTAAAATGGAGAGGATGGTCATTTGAATAAATGTTTTATTTTTTTACTAAAAGATGTGGAAAATAGACTTTTATAAACCTTGGTTTATGATGTGTCAGTCTGTTCTGAAATGGACAACAGGGTATATAACCCAGTAATCTAGCACAAAGGAATCCCATCATGAAAGGAGACACTTGGGAGTTTAGACAGTCATTCTCGCCAAACATGACTTCACCTGGAGATGCAATTTGGAGAAAGCTTGTTGTAATCTTCTGATACTAAGCTGAAGTTGTTCAGCACCTACATCTGGCGAATGAGCAGTAGAGAACTCTGTCAGCAGCATAAAGACAAATAAATGAAGTCAGTATAGAATTTATTATATCATAATGTACGTATTTCACTGTAGATTGAAAACGCCTGTTGTAATCTACTAAAACTAAGCTGAAGTTGTTCAACAATGTTTGTATCTGGCAATTTTGCAGTATTGTAAATCTAAGTATTCTAATGAGAATATGCACATGGATGTGAATTTGGCATGCCTTAAATGGATTTTACTTGCAAAGGAAGTATTTTCCCTGAGTCATCCCACTGCTCTTGAGGGAAATCTAATTTCGCAACACTAGCTCACAAATAGCACTCTTACCTGCATGAGTGCTGAAGTAATCTGGACTTCTGGTATAAGAATGGGTGGAATGCAAGACTTTGGACAAGGGGGAGGAAAGATCAAGCTCTTCAGCAATCACAACACAGATGTTTCAAGGGCCCTTTTGCTTGACGAATGTCAGGGCTCATGTAGGGAAACATAAGGCAGTTGTCTGCAGGGGAGATACCACATCTTTGCAACAGGAGTTTTGTTTAGCCTCGGTAAGAAGGTCAAAAGTCAGAAGCATCAACTTCACTCTTCGAATTTTGTTTTCCTTTTAAAGCCTCGTGCAAGTTGCAGAATAACTCCCGGATGACCACGCATTTGTAATCCTTTCAGGTCTTCTAGTGAGAATATTACGGACTCATTGTCTGTATTGCTCAATAGCAAATCAGGAAACCAATGAGCTGCTGAGTAGTATCCTGACCCTATATGCATTAGCCATTTAATGGTTTTTGTTCTTTTTCCCCTCATGTGGAATATAAGACACCTAACTGTTTACAAGGTTGTTAAAATGTATGCAAGTAAAAAAAAAAAAAAAAAAACATAAAAAACCCTAACAAACATGCATTATTTATTTTCACTTGGAGTAAAATTTTTTACTGAATTTCAGAATATTTCAGTAAAACACACAGTAATGTGTGCCTGGACATTCAGCAAGGTACTGTAAATGTAGGCCAGTACCACTAATTATGTCTTAGGAATGCCCCAATAGGTCAAAACCAAAAAGGTGAAATGCTTTTTAATGTTGAAAACACTGATGAAATGATTCCAGAGTGACATATCCTACCTCAAACTATAAGTATTTTAACTCAAAATGTCCTGATAGCTCACTCGCTTTAACTTCAAAACCAATGCGAACAAATGTGGATAATTTGAGAAATAAATCATGTAACCTCTACTTAAATCAGCTTGACTGACCTACTTTATCTGCCAAAGTGCAAATGACCCTCACAGACGCCTGTGGCATCAAAGACCCCCTGCGGTCTTTGGCAGTGGGTGGCGGAAAACAGTGTTTTCGCGTTCTCTTGTGAACAAACTAATAAACACACTCAGCTATTTGAACAAGTACTGCTTGAGGTCATGAAGAGATAACACTCACTAGGTTACGTCAAAAATAATGATTATAGTAGAAAGCAAGCTTAAGCTGAATATACTGGGAATTCACTATGTTATGGAATTTGTTGAATGCTAACACTTATAGCTGAAACAGACCATACATATATTTTTTTTCTGAAGTCATATTCAACCTAATTTAACCTACAGAAAGCAACATGTGAGATAAACCACACCGTTTGTTGTTTTTTTGTGAGCCAAGAGATTGATTTGTTGAAAAATTAACAAGAAGCTGGCAAGTGAGAGATCAGAAGTAATTGATGCTACTGGAAACTGACTCTTCACAAAGAGGAAAACAGATTTCTGTTGCATCAATAATGAGACTCCTAAGGTTTCCAGCAATAAAATATGGCATTTAGTTGTTTTTGGAATGCATGACCAGGCAAATTCTTAATCAAAGGTGAGACATGGTTGTAATTCACGTCACAGCTTGAAATATCAAACAATGGGATATCACATGGAAACGCATTTCTAGGATCTCTGGACTTGCAGAGTTTTGCAGATGCTCCCATGACTTTATTAATTCTGACATTTAGTCATGGATAGTTCTGCAAACATCTGCGCATTCCATGCATGCTAATTTAAAATGATATATGACAACTCCACAACAGCCAGACAAACTCCTGCTGGGAAAACAATTGCCTGCATATTGTTTTTTTTTTTCTACAGAACTGTTGTTCTTCATCTAGCCTTTGATTTTTTTGTGTTACACAAAAATGTTCAGTCTCTTTTGTGAAAAATACACTTTTATATTGACTTGAATTTCCATAGTTTCACAACTTTTTCTTTTATTATCACCAATATGCAATCAAACTTCACCATCAAGCACAAATATCTTGCGTGTTTTATGCTACTGATGTCACAGAAATTGATTTAGTTTACTTATCACATTTAAACCCTCTACTGGCTTCTCAGTAGCCATGCTCTTTTTTTTTAACCTTCTTCCACTGTAATGTAAGAAGATCAATGATATTCACTAAAGTGTCTTTATTGGGTTTGTTCAGTGGCTTCTTATAAAAAATACCCAATCAATTAGACAAGTGAATCCAAGTTGGTGCATTTAGATATAGTACAGGTGATTTGCTGAAGAGAAAAAAAAAAAAGAGCATCACAAATGTGAAAAAAGGGAATGAATTTACTTTGAACATGGGTTGGTTGTTGATGATCTAAGAAGTTTAGAAACCACTTATTTACTGGGACTAAACACACGCAACCGTCTCTCGGTTTTACAGAACAGTGCAAAAATGGCAAATTTGTTAACAGTTGTGTTTACTAAAATACCTCATTAAAATCAGAGATCACCTCGGAATGCACTATTTGGAAGCAGACGATCGACAGCAGCCGGAGGCCACACCGAATGCCACTCCTGACAGCTAAAGGCAGGAAACTAAGGCTGCAGTGGCACAGGCTCATCAGAACATAAAAAGATAAATAAATAAAAATTAAATTAAATTGTATTCCACCTTTCATCAGTGGTAGAGGATGTGGTGATGTAACATATTTTGCTGGCACTCTGAGCCTCTTGGTACCAACAAAGCATTGTTCAGACACCACAGCCTGCATGATTGTTGTTGCTGTCCACTATGTATCCATCACCTTTATTGAGGAAATGGGATCACACAGCATTTTTTTTTCTTTGCTAAATAAAACGTTTCATTACTACACTAAAACTGAGCTAGAAATATTTAGGAATCCTCTCCGTGAAATAGAAATAAGCTCTAGTTATCTCTATCTTTATTCCACCCTGGCTAGCTTCCCTTGCCGGCTCATACATCTTGAGTTCTTTATCTTGACTTCAAAGAAATCTCAGTTTTAGCTGTGCTGCAATTCCAACTGACTGTAATGAAAAACAGTTCATAAAACGGTTAAATTTCACGGCTCGGTTGGGTTTCTCTAATTCCCACAAACAGTTGACAGTATTAAAGGGGGTCCCAGCACCACAAGAAAGAGTTTGGAGATGTTTCTGGCATGGCTATTGTGTTTCTGTGATTTTTCAGCCCACCACTGAGGGTTTCCTCTCGGCTAACCAATGCTGAATGTTGGAAAAAAACAAAACAAAACATATTTTTACAACTCCGGGATGGCTCGTGCATTTGTTAGAGGAGGAAACTGAGAAAATATGTTTAAAACAAATTCCTTTCTGCACAAAAAAAGACAAATGTCAACTTTTTTTTTTTAAGTCCCAGAGCTCGTTTGTCTTTTCCTCCCTCCTCTTACTCCCTCATTCAAGTGCTGCTCTACTCCCAGAGGTTTGAGGAAGAGCCATGTTCTGGCACAACAAGTCCTCACAAAAGTGCCTCGCTCGCCATGGCACACCATACCCCATGCTAAAACAACGGTTCGCCCATCATGTACCTGCTGGTGGCATTGAAGCCCTTATCTGAACCGCACACTGCTTCGCTGCGTCTACGTGGCAGGTATGCTTTGATTATCTACAGATGCCTGCATTATTCGTGCGCGCTGTGCGAAATAAGATGAAATAGTTTCAAATGCAGAAAAAAAAAACAAAAAAAACAAAAACAAAATAAAAAACAACAACAAAAGGCACTTTATGTAAATGTATCAGAAGTTAAGACATTTAATATTAATGCTTACAGCTTGATGATGTCCAGCGGGGGTGGGGGGGAAGGTTTAAGGTGGTTTGGGGATCCTGGATGTCCAAGTCAAGTTCGGTTCGAAAGCCCACTCTGCATGCGCAATTCCTCTGTCAAAGCCGCCGCAAATTGGACTCCAGATCCAATAAAGAGACAGGTAAACCTTTCATTTTACGTCCAAATACCAACACAGTCCCCGCACTAACGCGTCCTATAGGTGCGTCAGAGTTTGTGTTACTTTCCCGAGTCCTGCGCTGGTTCAGGATGCGGTCTGCTTGATGCTCTCCGCTCCGGCTCCGCGCCTCTCTGTGCAGGCGAGTCTCTCTCCTTCCCTCACTGAACGCCTGCCACACACAAACACACGCACACGCCTACACGCACTGTCACACGGAGCGCGAGAAGGGTCTGCACGTGACGTCACACACACACGCACTTGCACCGGGCAATGAAAGACGCCGCAGCTGAGGATCGTTGCGCACCTTCGTTTTATGTAATCAGTTTAATGAGTACAACACCTCTGTTCGTTCGCCTTGTTCGGGCCAACGAAAGGGAGCTTGTTGTAAATCTCTTCCACGTTAACACAAGTGAAGACACAAGCAACAAGTGCATAGAGGTTGTCAAAGACGCACAAAGTCCGGCTTCCAAGAGAATATTTGAGAGTCGTTCTCTTCTCCCTGCCTAATTGGAAACACATTTCGTGAGCAACTTGTAAAGAGGAAAAAAAAAAAAAAAAAAAGACAGGAAGAGGGCTAAGAGGGGAGGAGTGAAAAAGAGATGAAAAGCAACCATAAGACTTACACTGGGAGATTTAAAGACATAAACTGACAATTGAACCTTTGTTATTATTATTATTATTATTATTATTATTATTATTATTATTATTATTATTATTATTATTATTATTGGTAAAGTGTTTTTCAGCCTGGACTTGGTGCTGCTGTCTCTAAAGGTTAAACTTTCACATGTGGAGATCTCAGAGAGTGTTTAGCAAGAGCAAGAACAGCTATGTCTGCACAATCCACACCATCTGTGAACACTTAGTGAGGTGTTAGGGCTGAACCAACCAACGATTTTTGCATGAGTATTATATGTGAGTGTGTGTTTAGATGACTGAACATCTCCCACAATATTTAGTATGAGGGGTTGATTTGTTGCATTTTTTTATTGACAACATGGCAATCTGCTGTCAAATCTTGTGAGAAGCTCTCTGTATTAGAAGACATTACATTTAAATTGCTTTCATATTTACATTTTCTACAGTTTCAGGCAACAAGACTGCACCTTAACAAGAAATGGGAAACATATATTTAATATTTAATATTATATGTGAGAATGCCTCTTAATTGATTTCTAACTCTATCCACAAACACGACTACTATATATATATATATATATATATATATATATATATATATATATATATATATATATATATATATATATATATATATATATACTGGTACATAAGTTTATCATTGCTGATGTCCTTCCTTCATAGCATTGTGCTAGCATTCACTGAGTCATATCTTCTGATGGTAGGTAATTAAAGTGCATTTATTTTACAGCATCTTAAAGTCTTAAGTTTGTTGTAATAAGTAAGGGCGGACTTTGTTTTTCTCAGGACTTTATTGAATCCTGTAGTATTTATTTTATAAATCTTCTGTGTGAGGTATAAAATTACAGAGATCCCTTCATTTGACAGAAATGCTATTATTAGAATCTAAATCTCTCTGAACTCAGCCCAAACACCAGTGTGACTTCAGTTTGTGGCCTTCATCTTCTCTTGTATTCTTTTGTGGTTTGGCTCAAAACCTATAGAAGTTCCCATAGTGAAAAAGCCAAAATACAATTTATGAAAAGATACAACATCACAATACATTTCACGAAACAGGAATACCAAAAATTGGATGGTACACGATGCAAAGTCACTTGAAGTGTAGTGAAGTGCAGCCAAGATTTGCAGAGGAATGAAAGCAACCACAAAGAAGTCAGTGATGATGGGGCTTTCAGGAGGTGAGGCGGTGGGGGGATTTGTTTGCCTTGAGGGATTTGTAGAAATACTTCCATAACCACTGTGCTGCATTTGGGCTTGTGTTGTTACAGAAGCCCCTCTATTTCACATGAGTCTAACAGACCAAATTTAAACCATGGTGTCCCACAATGAAAGGCAAACATCTATGTGTTGGCCACATAATAATCCCACCTACTGTGCAAGTGGAACCCCATGCTCACATTGCTGCAGGCCTATGTATGCTAAGCTGTGCTCCTGTACAAATGTTACTTTTTTTTCCCCTGAAATTATTATGACCCTGCTTCATCCCAGAAATAGTCTGAAGCAGAATTTGACTATTAATGGCTTATTTTAAATGAGGAATGTGCAGTTTATGTATGTATGGTAAATGTGTTCTGCAAAATTTATAGCAAATTTTTGTGAACAAAATTGAAACATCAGCATTTAGAACATTTTAAATTTGATTCCTGAAAGGTGCCGATTAAAAAAAAGACATTAGACTACACAAATCACAGTTGCATTACACATTATACAGTTTGTACCCATTATAAATATGAAAATTGTCTTGAAATCAAATTAATGTTTTTTACAGAATCTCACACCGGAAGCTTAAAATTCATGCTGCAGTGTTTGCTTAGTATGAGGGGATTTCTCAAAGTTAATCACCTCATGAAATTCATTGATTACTGTCACTAACTGATTGGGGTGGGGATTTCTAGAAAGTCTGTCACTCAGTTCAGTTGGTTGGGTTTCCTAACACAGAATTCTTTCCTTTTACCTGTCAACATGATAAACTAAAGTCGACAATTTTTTATTTTTTAAGTTTTTTGGGCAGTTTTATCTATAAAATCATCATTTGAAATCTTGTGTTTACTTTGGCTATCTTTGATATTCAACACACACAAACACAGTGTCTTCAAATTAACCCCTGGGTTCAGCTTCATTTCTGAGATTAGTTGGTCCAAAGGCATAAGGAGGAGAAACCATTTGTCTGGTGACCAGAAAACAACCTGAATCTCCAAATTCATAAAACAAAATAATTGACCACAGACTTCAGAAAGAAGAGACAAGATCACAACCCTTCCTTGAAACCGGAGAGCATTTGGAAACTCTCATAACCTCAAATTCCCGAGCACGCTCATCTCGGCCAGTCTGTACTGGTCCCACAACACCAAGGCCTTTGTTAAGGTCAAGCAAGTGATACATTTTCTGCGTGTCCTGAGGAAAAGCAATCCGAACAAGAAACTGCTGCTGGCCTTCTGTCATGCCTGTGCTGGGAGTGAACTAACATACTGTCTTGGTTTCTGGAACATAAGCTCTACAGCTGTGGACAGAAAGGTTTCTATTACTTCCTTGCACCAGATTTTGAAATCTTTAAAATGAGCCACTCCCACAACGACTGCTAGTCTAGACCTAAAAGACAAGATGCTGTGTAAAATTTGATGGACACTGAGTTTTGTGTGAGGGCATCTTCAGTAATGAAGAGCATTTACATTAGATTGTGGTTAAAATAGATATTGAGGAAGCCGGGCATTCTTCTGCAGACACATGGATCAGCAGCCCCAACTACATGTATTGTTTCCAAGGCGGCACACCCACTGACATTTGCAGCATCTGGTAACATTTATAGAGGTGTTGGTAGTAAATAAAACCACCATAATTTCAAGAATCTAAGAGAACAGTTGCACGCCTGAAAGAGCAGGATTAATTTACTTGAAGAAAATGATCTCGGTTATGCCCAAAAAAGGAAACTGTTCAGTTTTTAATTGATTCAATTTGACTTGCTGATATAAATCTTCACATGGAAAAAAAATATCCCCACATAGCCTCTTTTACTCCACTTGGAGCTCTAGTGGAATTCAATTTCAGATGTTATTGAACGACACTATGCTATCTGTTATTCAAAACCACTAACTGCACTTTGTGACATACTGTCAATACTGTAGATCTAAAAACACAAAATAGCTAAAACATGATGTTTTTATCGAGAAGATAAAGTTTTCTTGTCTTTAGCTCCCTAATGTAACTCGTAATAAATAGTAAGGGCGATTGGGCATTAACCCTCAGTTTGAGCAGATGGTGGAAAAACAAGCCTTTATGTAAGATTCACTAAATCACCTAGTAAACACTAGGCCAGGAATAAAGACTGTTGGAAATGTAGTCCTGTTGCCTCAGCACTCCAGGAACTTTGCTATCTCTTCTCCTTGCATGTTTCTTTGTTCCTGCTTTTCAGACTGACTGGAGCGCTGCAGCTTTTTTTTTTTTTTTACTGAGTTATGTCTTGTTGCATCATTTTCTTTTACAAAATGCTACTTTTGTGTATGGAAATTTATTTAACTATATATATTTTTTTTAGATTTCCAGCTCTCACTTTGTCCAAGTCTTGCAAATTTTCAGTCAAAAACGCTTCAATTTCCCAGTCTAGTGTAGTAGTGCAGGTGCTTTTAAGGAAATGATTGTTTAGCTCTGTGGTTTTGAACCATATCTTAAATATTCCACTGGCTTTAAGGGGCACAAGACAAATAAGCAATAGAAAGCTGCAACACCTTCAAAAATCAATCTTACACATGCAAACTAAGGTTTTAAAGATGACACTGAACAAAACAAAAATCCAGCGCAACCACTTGATTTCATTGCTAAGGCTGAAAATCTCAAGTTTATTTCATCACCCAAATATAGAAAGGAAGACACTATGGCAAAACTTTTAATTTAGCAACAGGGAAGCTCACCAAAGTTAACGGGAAGACGGATGGAACTAAATGTGGGACAATCCTGGAAGAAAAGCTTAAAATAACTTGCCACCGGTTCAAGCTTTACCTCATAGCAGGAGAACAGACAATATTTTGACAATATTTTTACTTTTATCACAGCAAAACATTGTTTCAAAAGCATGAACCTAGCTGGGCTAAATATTAAGTCACGCCACAGTTTTCAGATTTCTCTTCTGTCAAATGAATTGTTTTGTTTTGTTTTGGGGTTTTTTTTGCACTCCTTTGCATTGGCTTATTACATAAAGGCTCAGTATAGTAAAAGAGAGGGAAGTTTGTGATTATTTATATTTTTTTAGCTCCCTGTGTGTTGCTCACACAAACATAATGTCTTAAAAGGTACTCATTCTCTGTCTGGCTCTCTCTTTGTGACATTTAGCTGCACGCATAAGCAGTTGACATTTCCAGAGTTTAAATAAGTCTAGACCAGCGAGAGATGAAAAAAAGAGACAGAGGCTCAGAGGTTTGGAAAGAGAGTTGAGTTTTTGTCTCAAAGAGCAGAGGGGATTAGTTTGGGTGAAATGGAGGGAGAGAAAAGGAGGGGCTTGGGGATACATAAACA